AAAAATGAGATCACCAGTACTGGAAAGGTTGAGAAGTTATTATTGGTGTGGATAAATGAGAAACAATTAGCAGGAGATACTCTTATGACTTCGTTTATTTGTGAAAAGGCTAGGCAGTTGCATGAAGATTTGGTAAAGAAATTGCCTGCAAATAGTGGTGAAGTGAGTGAATTTAAGGCCAGCAAAGGCTGGTTTGAGAGATTTAAGAACCGTACTGGCATACACAGTGTGGTAAGGCATGGTGAGGCTGCCAGTTCGGACAACAAGGCGGCTGAAAAATATGTGCATGAATTCCAGGAGTAAATAAACAGTGAAGGACTGAAACCTGAACAAGTGTTCAATTGTGACGAAACAGGCCTCTTTTGGAAGAAAATGCCAAAGAGGACCTTCATTACACAAGAGGAAAAGGCAATGCCAGGACATAAGCCTATGAAAGACAGGCTGACGCTAATGTTCTGCGCTAATGCTAGTGGGGATTTCAAAGTGAAGCCATTACTAGTGTACCATTCTGAAAATCCCAGAGTGTTCAGGAAAAACAATGTTATGAAGAGTAAATTGTGTGTGTTTTGGAAATCTAATAGTAAGGCATGGGTCACGAGGGAAATTTTCGTCGAGTGGTTCAATGAAGTGTTTGGCCCTAGTGTGAAGGAGTATCTCCTGGAAAAGAAATTGGATCTCAAGTGCGTGCTAGTAATGGACAATGCACCTGCTCATCCTCCAACCTTGGATGACCTAATTTTCAAGGAGTTTGGGTTCATCACAGTAAAGTTCTTGCCCCAAATACCACTCCTCTCCTCCAACCCATGGACCAGCAGGTTATTGCAAACTTTAAAAAACTCTACACAAAAGCAATGTTTCACAGGTGCTTGACTGTGACCACAGACACTCACTAGATGAGGGCATAAAGAGCGACATCGGCAAGTTTGCCGATGACACCAAAATGGGCCGTCGAATTCATTCTGACGAGGACATTCGAGCACTCCAGGAAGATTTGAATAGACTGATGCAGTGGTCGGAGAAGTGGCAGATGCAGTTTAATATAGACAAATGCAAAGTTCTAAATGTTGGACAGAACAATAACCATGCCACATATAAACTAAATAATGTAGATCTTAATATTACGGATTGCGAAAAAGATTTAGGAGTTCTGGTTAGCAGTAATCTGAAACCAAGACAACAGTGCATAAGTGTTCGCAATAAAGCTAATAGAATCCTTGGCTTCACATCAAGAAGCATAAATAATAGGAGTCCTCAGGTTGTTCTTCAACTCTATACATCCTTGGTTAGGCCTCATTTAGTATACATCCTTGGTTAGGCCTCATTTAGATTATGCTGCACAGTTTTGGTCACCGTATTACAGAATGGATATAAATTCTCTGGAAAATGTACAAAGGAGGATGACAAAGTTGATCCCATGTATCAGAAACCTTCCCTATGAGGATAGACTAAGGGCCCTGAATCTGCACTCTCTAGAAAGACGTAGTATTAGGGGGGATATGATTGAGGTGTATAAATGGAAGACAGGAATAAATAAAGGGGATGTAAATTGTGTGCTGAAAATATCTAGCCTAGACAGGACTTGCAGCAATGGTTTTAAGTTGGAAAAATTCAGATTCAGGAAGGATATAGGAAAGTACTGGTTTGGTAATAGAGTTGTGGATGAGTGGAACAAACTCCCAAGTACAGTTATAGAGGCCAGAACGTTGTGTAGCTTTAAAAATAGGTTGGATAAATACATGAGTGGATGTGGGTGGGTGTGAGTTGGACCTCAAAGCTTGTGCTACCAGGTCGGTTGCCGTGTTCCTTCCTTAAGTCAATGTGACCTGACCTGACTAGGTTGGGTGCATTGGCTTAAGCCGGAAGGAGACTTGGACCTGCCTCGCATGGGCCAGTAGGCCTTCTGCAGTGTTCCTTCGTTCTTATGTTCTTATGTAACCACTGCCTCAATTGCTGTCTCAACAGCTGCCTCAACCACTGCCTCAATCGCTTCCTCAACAGCTGCCTCACCCACTGCCTCAATAGCTGCCTCACCCACTGCCTCAATCGCTGCCTCAACAGCTGCCTCAATCGCTGCCTCAACAGCTGCCTCAACCACTGCCTCAATCGCTGCCTCACCCACTGCCTCAATCGCTGCCTCAACAGCTGCCTCAACCACTGCCTCAATCGCTGCCTCAACAGCTGTCTCACCCACTGCCTCAATCGCTGCCTCAACAGCTGCCTACCCACTGCCTCAACAGCTGCCTCACCCACTGCCTCAATCGCTGCCTCAACAGCTGCCTCAACCACTGCCTCAATTGCTGCCTCAACAGCAGCCTCAACAGCTGCCTCACCCACTGCCTCAATTGCTGCCTCAACCACTGCCTCAATCGCTGCCTCAACAGCTGCCTCAACAGCTGCCTCTACAACTCCAGTCGCACTCAGTCTACAAGCACCAAACAATGAATTATTGTGAAATGTTTGGAAGAGCAGGGAGACTAATGCTCACTCCAGCTTAAACAAAGCCACACTGACGATGTGTCAACCACTCCCTCGTATTTTTATACAACTTCCTTCTTCAATTATATCGCATTTATTATTATTATTGTTGTTATTATTAGCAGTAGCAGAAATGTTTGATTCTTTGCTGTGTTCAAGAGTAAACACATGATGTCACCGTCTAATACCTGTCCGAATAGCCATTCCAATATGCAGTCATGAATGGGTTTGCATTATTTATACTGTAGTTTAATAGCAAATAATGAACAAACAAAACACTCACCACACTGAGTGGTGGGAGGGCTGGCTGCCAGTTGCGGGGGTCGGTGAGAGGGTAGTAGGGACTTGCAGGTGGCGGGAAACTTGAATATGATTTGGCAGCTGGGAATTTGGTGGCTGGGAATTTGGCGGTTGGGAATTCGCGAATGTGTGAAGCCCGCGAAAGCTGAAAACGTGAATGTTGAGGGAGACCTGTATTACGTATTATATTATTATACGTATTATATTATTATTATAAGTATTATTATTATTATTATAAGTATTATTATTATTATTATAAGTATTATTATTATTATTATTATTATTATTATTATTATTATTATTATTATTATTATTATTACGTATTATTATTATTATTAATTAGTACGTATGTATTCTTATAATAATAACTTTTGCTTACCATTTGGAATTTTTATTCACACAAAAAATAGAAAATTTACTGTTATGCAGACTACAGCATTATTGTAATAATTGTATAAATAATGTCAACCCATTTGTGACTGCATATTAGAGTGGCCAGTTGGACACACATTGGACAGTGACATCATTTATATATTCTTGAACATGGCCAAAATCAAACATTTCCGCTATTTCGAGCTCAATTTCAAGGTACTTTTCGTTGTGAAAGCAAACAAAATCATGTCTATTTCTGTAATATATCTTCTATTCTATCAAATGAGACCAAAAAAATGAGAATACAACCATAAAAACCATACAAAAATATACTGCTAAGGGGCAGCTAATGGCTAAGAAGTGAACTCTGTTATTTATGGTCCGATTTCTTTCAATTTTGTTGTACATTAAGAAGTATCTTTCCATCATACATTGCCCAAGTTTCAATAAGATAGTCCAACAAACAAATGAGATCCAATTCCCTAGATCAAGAGCAAGAGCCCCTCACCAGCATCAAGGAACCTCCCTTGAGGCCCACTCGCATCTGGAAATTTTGCTCACGTCTGGAAGCAAAAAATCGACCAAGCGACTGCTCATATCTGGAAAAACTCGCACGTAGATGCACTCATAAGCAGAGGTTCCACTGCATTGGTGAATACTGAGGTCAAGCATATTTTTGGTTAATATATAAGATGAAACAAATTGGTTCTAGTGCGAACATCAGTACAATTACAAATATAGTGATGCACCAGGCTTTGACATAGTTTAATCTAATCTGGGTTCAAGTCAGTTTTAGGAGGTCCTTGTTTTACTATGTTTTTTAAGCAGATGATTAAAGAGAAACTTTTTGCACCTTCTGGAAGGGAGTTCCCAATTTTAGGATTTTTTATTGTCATAGAGTTCCTGTACAGGTTCAAACGTGTTTTATATCAAAGAGATATACTTATTTCTTGTACTGTGTCAGTGTTCTGTTGTGACTCTACAGGAAGTCAGAGCACTGGGTTGAAGTTTGTTCTAAGTGTACTGTACTTATAAATTGCGCAGTGGCAAGTGTGGATATGTTGCATATTGAGTAAGTTGAGACTTTAGAATAGTGGGAGTGTGTGTCTGGCACCTGATTGGGAGATTACTCTAATAGCTTTCTGTTGGGTAACAATGGGGTTTTAGGTGATTTGCTGTTGTAGATCCTCAAGCACAAATACCATAGGTGAGGTAAGGACAAATCAGAGAGCTGTACACAGTAATACACAGTTCACCCTAGTTCACTTGTTAAAAGACACGAGGAACATCTAATTTATGGGTTACTTGTGAATTGTTCTGTTCATGGAAATATAACAACTTATTCATCATTTCTTATATTCATTTGCTGCATTTAGTACCAAATTAATTCAAAACTGAATTAATGTGGATTATTTTTTTTTTTTTTTTTTTTTTTTTTTTTCAACAAGTCGGCCGTCTCCCACCGAGGCAGGGTGACCCAAAAAAGAAAGAAAATCCCCAAAAAGAAAATACTTTCATCATCATTCAACACTTTCACCACACTCGCACATTATCACTGTTTTTGCAGAGGTGCTCAGAATACAACAGTCTAGAAGCATACACATACAAAGATACACAACATATCCCTCCAAACTGCCAATATCCCAAACCCCTCCTTTAAAGTGCAGGCATTGTACTTCCCATTTCCAGGACTCAAGTCCGACTATATGAAAATAACCGGTTTCCCTGAATCCCTTCACTAAATATTACCATGTTTCTCTTGGCTTGGGGAAATAAAAAAAACTGGAAAGTTTACAATTTAAGAATATAATGACCCAAGTACTTGTTGAAACTTTCTTTCTTTTCCTTTGCAGGGCAGGGATTGTGTTCCTGTGTATGACAGAGGTCATACTGTGTGCTAGTGAGGCAGCAAGGAACTGGCCTCATAGCACACATCCTAAACACTATCATCCTCAACAAAGAGCTGACTTACATAGTAGAAGGTACCAAATACCTTCGCCAAATCCTTTCTTAAGGCCAAGATTAAGCATACCAGGAACACAAAATGTTCCTCAGTCATGGCCTCATAATAGACACAAGCTTCAATATCTCCCTAGGCAAGATTTTCACATACATGGGATGAATCTAACAAGAGCACAAAATCGTCCCCATAACTGGCAAATGATGCAGGTTCTTCCCAACATTACTCAAAAGATTCAGACTCTTCCTAACTATGATCCAAAGGTTCAAATACTTCCTAAGAATCAGCATAAGATTCAGGTTCTTCCTAACAATCTGCCAAATATTCAGCATCTTCCATCACACACATACCAAAGAACCCAAGTTCCAAATTATAAACATTTTAACAAATCAGATGTGCTAAGGATGCAAGAAAGTCCTACTGTTAAACATTTATCAACTGTTTTGCAAAGTACACCAAGCAAGACTCTGCCTTCAACAAGGAACAATGTCAAACATCTGGAAAGCCAAAACATAACTCTACGCCTAACAAAACTAAGCACACCAGAGAGAATAGGGAAGCAGTGGGTACTGCCTCGCACACTGGTAGGGGCCTACAGGACTACCCAGAGAAACACCAGACGACGGTGGTGGCGCAGAGGTAATCACAAATAATTTTTACTCCATATAAATAATTTTTACTCTGGCTATCTCCCACAGAGTCACCCTGCCTTGGTAGGAGATGGCCAGCGTGTTTAAAAAAAAAAAAAAATTGCCCGAGTTGCCTTACCTACTAAGCCTAACTTTATTCATTCAATTTTTGTTTGCATTTCCTTTCTATATTGCAAACAGGTCACAGAAGCTTTCTTCTAAGTTTGGTGCAAGCATATTTAGTCATGTATTTTCATGAAGGTACTTTTTCACTATTATCGAAATGTATTTAGAAATATGATGGGGCAGTTACAGTATTTTGCTCAGCAAGAGGAATGTGAAAAATTTTCCTGATGCTTAGTGACTGACCCCATAATAATAATACACATAATACTGTATAATAATAATATCTTTATTTCTACAAATACAGTGGACCCCCAGTATTCGATATTAATCCGTTCCTGAGCTCATCGTATGCCAAAATTATCGGAAGGCGAATTAATTTTCCCTATAAGAAATAATGGAAATCAAATTAATCTGTGCAAGACACCCAAAAGTATGAAAAAAAAAATTTACCACATGAAATATTGAGTTTAATGCACACAAACTGAAGAAGACATGCACAGTTTGTAGTACTCTACTAACAATAGAATATGTGACACTTACCTTTAATGAAGATCTGGTGATGACTGATGGGATGGGAGGAGGGGAGAGTGTCGAAGTTGTTAATGTTTAGAAGGGGAATCCCCTTCCCTTAGGACTTGAGGTACCAAGTCCTTTTCTGAGGTTACTTCCCTTCTTCTTTTAATGCCACTAGGACCAGCTTGAGAGTCACTGGACCTCTGTCGCTGTTCCTTAAAATTTGTCTAAAATGGGCCATAACATTGTCATTGTAATAGTCACCAGCACGGCTTGCAATAGCTGTGTCAGGGTGATTTTCATCCATAAAGGTTTGCAGTTCAACCCACTTTGCACACATTTCCTTAATTTTTGAAGTAGGCACAATGGATTCCACAACTGGCATAGGCTTCTTAGGGTTATCCCCAAACCCTTCAAAATCTTTCTTAATTTCCATACTAATTCTCATCCTTTGTACTACAGGGTTGGCGCTAGAAGCTTTCTTGGGGCCCATGGTGACTTATTTTGCAGAAACAAGCACCAAAAACAGTGATAATATGGAATGTACCGAATGTATGCTTAGATGCGAGCACACTGGCTGGCTTGTAAACACTGGCACTCACGTGGACGCGTCCCGGATGAATCGCGTGTGGTGCGTTAAAATGTATCGAATACCAGATTTAACGTATACCGATGCCATCGAATACCTGGGGTCCACTGTATATGTACAAGGTATACAGGCCTAGCTGACATCAATGAAATATGTACTACTAAATAGAAAGCCCCTTCTTATACAGAGCATTTCAGGAAAATTAGGACAGTTTTGTCCCAGAATGTGACCCACACCAGTCGACTGACACCCAGGTACCCATTACGTATTGCTGATGGGTGAACATAGACAACCGATGTAAGGAAACACGCCCAATATTTCAACCCTCACAGGGAATTGAACCTGGACCCTCACCAGGTGAAGTGAGAGCTTTTGCCACCACACCATGGGCCACCATATAAAATTCGATAATGTATCACAGTGAAAGATGTGTATAGATGAACCACTGTTATTTTGTCTTTACTTACTTGGAGCGAGTACCTGCATTCCTCTCCACTTAAACTACAATACAGTGGTCCCCCGCTTTTCGTAGTTCCCGGCAATCGTAAAATTCGCCAATCATAGGGGTATTTTCGTATAAACATGGACTCGCTTTTCATAGGTTGACTCGCGAGTCGTAGTTCGTCCAGGATGCGTACGCACGGCGTGGGCCAGGGCGGCAGCCAGTCTGGCATTGTTTACCAGTGAGCGAAGGTCCCCTCGCGTGCTCCAGCGAAATATTTCATAATATTCCATTTATTTTAGTGCTTGCAAGTACTAAATAAGCTACCATGGCTCCAAAGAAAGCTCCTAGTGCCAAGCCTGTGGTAAAGAAGGTGAGAAATACGATTGAATTTAAGAAAACCATCATTGAACAATATGAAAGTGGTACAAGTGTGGCCGAACTGTCCAGGATGTATAAGAAACCCTATACAACCTTATGTTCCATAGTGGCCAAGAAAAAGGAAATAAAGGATGCTGTTGTTGCAAAGGGAGTAACTATGCTGACAAAAATGAGATCACCAGTACTGGAAGAGGTTGAGAAGTTATTATTGGTGTGGATAAATGAGAAACAATTAGCAGGAGATACTCTTATGACTTCTTTTATTTGTGAAAAGGCTAGGCAGTTGCATGAAGATTTGGTAAAGAAATTGCCTGCAAATAGTGGTGAAGTGAGTGGATTTAAGGCCAGCAAAGGCTGATTTGAGAGATTTAAGAACCGTACTGGCATACACAGTGTGGTAAGGCATGGTGAAGCTGCCAGTTCGGACCACAAGGCGGCTGAAAAATATGTGCATGAATTCCAGGAGTACATAGAGGCTGAAGGACTGAAACCTGAACAAGTGTTCAATTGTGAAGAAACAGGCCTCTTTTGGAAGAAAATGCCAAAGAGGACCTTTATTACACAAGAGGAAAAGGCAATGCCAGGACATAAGCCTATGAAAGACAGGCTGACGCTAATGTTCTGCGCTAATGCTAGTGGGGATTTCAAAGTGAAGCCATTACTAGTTACCATTCTGAAAATCCCAGAGTGTTCAGGAAAAAAAAATGTTATGAAGAGTAAATTGTGTGTGTTTTGGAAATCTAATAGTAAGGCATGGGTCACGAGGGAAATTTTCATCGAGTGGTTCAATGAAGTGTTTGGCCCTAGTGTGAAGGAGTATCTCCTGGAAAAGAAATTGGATCTCAAGTGCGTGCTAGTAATGGACAATGCACATGCTCATCCTCTAAACTTGGATGACCTAATTTTCGAGGAGTTTGGGTTCATCACAGTAAAGTTCTTGCCCCCGAATACCACTCCTCTCCTCCAACCCATGGACCAGCAGGTTATTGTAAACTTTAAAAAACTCTACACAAAAGCAATGTTTCACAGGTGCTTGACTGTGACCACAGACACTCACTTGACCCTAGGGGAATTTTGGAGAGAACACTTCAGCATCCTCCACTGCATATCCCTTATAGGTATGGCTTGGGAGGGAGTGACTACCAGGACTTTGAACTCTGCCTGGAGAAAATTGTGGCCAGATTGTGTCGACAAGAGGGATTCTGAAGGATTTGGGACTGACCCTAATGAGCCTATGTCTGTTGTAAAATCAATTGTGGAACTGGGGAGTTCCATGGGGTTGGATGTGAGTTTGGAGGATGTGGAAGAATTGGTGGAAGACCACAATGAAGAGCTTACCACTGAGGAGCTGCAAGAGCTTCAGCAGGAAGAGCAACACATCGCAGCTCAGAATCTTGCTGCAGAGGAGGAGGGAAAAGAGATGGAAGAAGGTGCCTTCTTCAGAATTAAAGAGATTTTTACTATGTGAGGTAAGATGGAAAGCTTTATGGAGAAACATCACCCTAATAAGGTTGTTGTAAGCCAGGTTGGCAACATGTACAGTGACAAAGTCTTGGGCCATTTTAGGGAAGTGTTAAAGAGATGCCAGAAACAGAGCTCTCTCCACAGTTATTTTGTGAGACAGGACTCCAGTGACTCTCAAGGTGGTCCTAGTGGCATTAAGAAACAGAGAAGAGAAGCAACCCCAGAAAAGCAAATGGTACCTGAGGTGTTGATGGAAGGGGATTCCCCTTCCAAACTATAAACAATCCACTCTCTCTCCTCCTCCAGTCTCCCATACACTAAGAAGAATCTCCAATAAAGGTAAGTGTTATGCTGTTAATGTTTCATTCATCATTTCCCATTGTATTGTTTATGTACTACATGTATATTTCATGTTAAAAATTTTTTTTGTTTTAATACTTCTGGGTGTCAGGAACGGATTAATTGTATTTACATTATTTCTTATGGGGAAAATTGATTCGTAAATCGTAAATTTTGTTTATAGTAACGGCTCCAGGAACGGATTAATTACGAACAACGAGGGACCACTGTATATCATACTACTTTTATCTTACAATATGTACCAAAGAAAAATAATCTAGCTTCAGCAATTTTTGTAACGAAATAGACAAAATATACAATTTACAGTATTTAACAATATTAACATTACAGCAAAAGAGAATTGGCTGAGGAACAATGTATGTCATTGACCCTTTCAGGGTCCCCAGGCCATCTCCGAGACTTGTTCTCAAAAAAAAAAAAAAAAATTTTTTTCTTATGAAAAGATAGAGAATCTTTTCCCGATCATAATGACACCAAAAGTATAAAATTTGATGGAAAACTTACAGAATTATGCTCTCGCGAAGTTAGCGGTCTCAACGATGTGTACTCATAGGCGATTTTGCCCACTTTGTGTCCTATTTTCAGTCAATTCAAGTGTACTAGTCGACAAAAACCATAACCATTTCGCTAGAACTCCATTTTTTCTATTGAATGAGTACAAGAAACCACCCATTTACCGATTTCAACTATCCAATAAAGTGGTCAGAATTCAGCAACTTTGCCAATTTCACACAAATTTCAAAAGATGCCGATTTCCGAATAGGGTCCAGAATAAACAAGAAAGACATTCCTGGCACTAAAATAACAAGTTCTCTGTTCGTTAGTCACATCCCCAGGCCCCTCTTATATTTCTTTGGCTTTCCACTTTGAATTTTTATTCTTACAAAAAATAGAAGATTTACTGTTATGCAGACTACTGCATTAGCGTAGAAATGGCATGAATAATATCAGCTCACTTGTGAAAGAATATAAGACTCACCAGTTGACGTTTATTGGACGCTTGGCATGATTTGTTTACTTTTGAACTTTGGTAAAAATCGAACATTTCTGCTACTTTGAGCTCAATTTCAAGGTACTTTTCATTGTAAAACCAGTCAAAATCATCTCAATTTCTGTAATATGTCTTTCATTCTATAAAAGGAAACCAGGAAAACTAGAATACAACAATAAATACCATACGAAAATACAGTGCAAAGTTGCTGTTTTAATCCAAAAACACGGTGAAAGTTTTTTTTTTCTCATTACGCACTGTGTGCTGCAGGATTTCTTTTATACTGCGCACACTGACTACATAGACCCATTCTTTCATATGTAGGCCTACCAGCTTTCTCTCACTAGATTTGAGGGCGCTAGAGTTTAGGTGTACTAGTACATCAAAAACCCTGGGGCGTAAGCCGTACTAATATGGCCGAAACCCTGAAAGGGTTAAGAAGGACCCTGTGAGGAATTTCAAATGATCAAGTAACTTCCTAAGTCAATACATGGGAATGTACTGCAATTAATCAAATGATAAGAATGTCCATGTAGTGAACTGTTGATTGTATAATATGTACTGTATTAAATACAGTATTTTGGGTTACCCATTTGAAATACAACCTATTCAAAATACAGTGGAGCCTTGGTACTCAAACTTAATTCATTCCAGAAAGCTGTTCAAGTGCCGATCTGTTCGAGTACCAAACAAATTTCTCCCAACCAATTTTCTTTTTGGTGGGCTGTTATCACTAATCTTCTTAGGCCCCATGGTGACACATTTATACAAAATAATATAAAAAATCACCAAAAATGCGAAGAAACACGAAATAGTTTACAGAGAAGTTCTAACAGGTCATCTTTGTTTGGTCGAGTGCCGAGCAAACGGTCGACTACCAACCGATTTTTTTACCAAACAAAGAGTTCGAATACCGGATTGTTAGAGTAAGGAGCTGCTTGAGTACCGAGGTACTACTGTAGTTCAAAATCATTTTCTAACACAGTACTGTACTGTTAGTAATAATGGTAGAATTACCAATGTTTCACTCTTGAAGAGCTTTGTCAAGCCGTTACATAATGGCACGACAAAGCTCCTGGAGAGCAAAACACTGTTGCAATAAAGTGTCACATTAGTTGCATCTGTGTCCATTTCTCTAACATACTGTACTGTTTCAGCGTGGAAGCACATAGATTTGCAACTCAATCCCCATTTTCTGCTGAAACAGAATTCACAATCTGTTATTACCTCATGAAATGTTCAATATTTCTCACAGATACTATGGGACATTTTAGATTCACAGGACCACTATGAACATAAGAACTCCCCCCTTCTCCCCACCAAGTAAATGTAGGCAGCTGGCTGTACCAAACATTCTGTAGTTTTGGAAAGCTATCTCCAACATTTCCAGTTCAGATTGGGTGCACTGTATTAAACTGAATTATACGAGTCAGATATATTGTTGTTATACAGTAACAGGGAAAAAATCTTTGAAATATTTATTTTTCTACAGGACGAACCAATACCACCCGGCCCAGTTGTCCAGATGGTAAAGTATGGCGGCGAGGGCAGTGCGTGTGTCCCTACCTCTCCAACTGGGATGAAAATGAAGGGAAATGCATATGTATCTATGGCACATACAAAGATTCAAATGGAAATTGTCGCAATTTCTAACACCACAGTATCCTTCTCGAGTTGTTGGATACCCACTGGTTGTCATAGGCTTAAACTATTGATTGATTTATCTATTTCCCTAACCCTCTCCCTCTCCCTTTCATTCTTTGTCCCCACCCAAAAGCCTTTCTCCTCTGTCTAATTTGGTCTGGCCAATAAGTAGAAAGGTGACTGTGTAGGGTACAGCCTCACTCATATGATCAAAATATTGTATCTAGCAATTAGCAAAACTATACCAGTAGCATACATTATTATAATCAATACTAAGTGTTAAACTCACTATGGTCATACAGTGCTGCTCAGAAGCATACAAATTTGCATGATATTCACATCTAATTAAAGTACATTAGTCTAATCAGAGCAAATGCTTTAACATCTCAGGAAATCCACATAAAAAGTTCTTAATAGTATTGAAAACACCTAATGTACCATAATATGTAATATGATACTTAGTGAAACAAACCACGGAACAGGTGGGATTTGAACCCATGGTGAGCAAATAATACAACTCCAAGCCAGTACGTAACCTGCAGTTTTACGATTCACTTGCCATGGGTTCAAACCTTACCTGTTTCGTGGTTTGTTTGTAATCGTGTCATTACGATTTTGTGAGCATGATACTTGGTGAATGATACTAAGGTAATATTCCTGGAATAAATCACAAATACTAAAACAAACCAATAAATTCTTGTCAGCTAAATATAAATATGTGTGATTGTGCTTTTTTTCTTCTTGCCAGATTGCAAACAATCTGGCAAGAAGCTAAGAGCAATGCTAATTTTGTGAGAACCATAATACAACTCTTGGAGAGTGAAAGCAACAACCTGACAGGACAGACTGGGCCACAATCAAGCCTCCACTACTCCTTGTGCTGAATGACACACAATGATTGAGACCTTCATAAAATACAAACAATTTCTGTTTATTATTTGAACAACGCAGTCAAATTTATCAAACTTTGTGAACTGAAAAATATTTAGCTTATTCTAACCTAGCAATATGGAAATTCATATTTAATTAGTACAGGAAACTATAATTTCCATCTTTGCAAGCAAAAAATGAATCTATTCAATGATCTTGTGTAACATCCTAATTCATGAACATGATGCACACTTACTTGACTGAGCAGCAGAGACAACCATTACGTAATTCAAGCCATTCTTCAAAGAGATCGCCTTCATGGCCGATGCTCAGGCTCTTCTCCATCGAACTTCCTGAGAGCATCATCATTGTACATAATATTAAAATGAGAGAAAAAGTCAAACAAATATTCTTATCCTGTCCAAAAGCTTCAGCAATGTCTGCCAATATCTTTATTTTGATCCAAAAAATGTATAATGCTTGTATAATAATAGAATTACCTTACAAAAATAAATCTGATATTTTTTAACTTTATAATCACATTGGCTTATTTATTTCCATGCACAGTTTCTTTCACATTTTAAGTAAAAAAAAAAAAAAATCTGGAGCCTTACCAAAATGTTTCTATCAATATTGCCTATCAGTTATATAATATTAAGGCACCATATTTTCCAAAACACAAGGTCCACTTTTTCCCCCCCAAAAAAAATATCAGAAAATCACCTTGAACTTTATGTGCTCAAGGTCTACAATTCTAAAATACCTGTGCCTGACTTATGACACAAGCATGTCACAACTGATACTCTTGGAATTAGGTGCACTTATGGATGAGAAAGAACCAATGACAAAGTACCAAATTTTGAATCATGTGACATATCTGATTGCAAGGAATATGGAAAGCAATTTATTTTGAAGGGAGGAAGTCCAATTATTGATGCTTTTTCCAGTGTCTATATAGAAGTCATCATCCTTTTCACAACATTGGCACTACCAGCTTCCCTAGTGGGTTCGTGGATGGAGCCATCAACTTACGTAGTTTAAGAAATAGAATGCTGTGCGACTAGGCATCAAAACAGCTTAAGGGCATCTTGAATAGCATCAAGACAAAGCACTGATTGTGATCTAATAGAGTTCTTTTTAGAAAAGTTAATTATTATATTTATGGGGAAGGAGGGATGGGAGTTCTAAGCCTGTAGGGGTTATATTGCATCATACCTGACTGCAAGGCAATCAGGTATGATACAAGAGAATATCAGGTCCAATGCCTTGGATCAAGAGTCCTTCAGTGGCTTCAAGGAACCTCCCTTGAGGGACTTAGAAAGATGAAATTTTCCCTGGTTCAAGAAAATATCACTGTTGTCTTACTTGTTATAGAGTCTTAAAACTCATTTGGATACCAATTCTGGTTTTTATGATCCATTTTGATGAGTGCTCATGTGTGGTGAAGGAAGTTTGGAGGGCTCCTGTACAAGAGTTTGGATGGATTTACCTGAGTATATTAACATTAATGAGGGCATTTCCTTCAGTGACATAAATAATCTTCAATGCTTGGAACAAGTTTTTCCATGTGTTAAATATTTTGGTAGTACCATACATGGGCATCCAAGGCTGCTCATCACCTATTTGCTCTGCAGTTTTCATGCTCTCTAACCTTACTGTCTAACACAAGAGAAAGCAGGGGTGCAGCATAGTCAACAAGTGATCTGATGTGTGCAAAATACTGTACATGATTGTCACATTAACATCATACCTAGGATGAAACCTTTCCAAGCTCTCAGTGCTTTTGGCCTAATAATGTATCATTATAATACTGGTACTCGGGGGTAAATCTACTATGAAACAAATGAAGCTTAAGCTTCAGGGCCCCTAATCCCAGAGGGGCCCCAGAAATGACTTAAGTCCACATTGCTGAAAATTTTGGGGTCTACTGTATGAGAAGGGGTTTCTAAAAAATAATATAATACTGTACGTGTAATTCAATACAAAATATAATAGTTAAAATAAAAATTAAAAGGTTATTCAAGTCTCATGCAGGCTAGCTATTACTGGTTGTCAAGGGTCCCCATAACATGGCCCCAAAATGTGGGTCTGCCACTGCTGGTGCTTAATGCCAACAAGCAGATGAACACCACTGTTTCCAGTTCATAATCCTTGTATTGAACTGAAAAAGCCTGTGGATGGTAAACCATCTTTATAATAAAGATACACAGGCATTGCATACATGTCTGATTCAACTGCTCTCAGACTCTTAACTGGCACCTTCCTAAAGAGAGAGAGGCAGTCTGCAATTTATCTGCAGGATTATTCATGGAGATATTCAAGAATATGAGAGGGGTAATTTGGAAGATGGATTTCTATATGGTTAAGGATACCATGCCCATATACAGCAGTAACCAATATATTATATACACATGTGCATTTAGTTTTCCCAATGAAAGTTGAGGAAGGCATCAAAAGTTTGCATAACAGAGAAGATAGACAAAGACTGCATGAAAATGAAGAGAGGCAAAGACAATACCAGTACAGAAAGACATAAAATTATGACAATGAAGAGAGATCATGAAAAAGTGAAAAAAAAGTACAAGAGTTTTTTTTTTTATTTTTTTTTCAACAAGTCGGCTGTCTCCCACCGAGGCAGGGTGACCCAAAAAAGAAAGAAAATCCCCAAAAAGAAAATACTTTCATCATCATTCAACACTTTCACCACACTCACACATTATCACTGCTTTTGCAGAGGAGCTCAGAATACAACAGTTTAGAAGCATATACGTATAAAGATACACAACATACCCCTCCAAACTGCCAATATCCCAAACCCCTCCTTTAAAGTGCAGGCATTGTACTTCCCATTTCCAGGACTCAAGTCCGACTATATGAAAATAACCGGTTTCCCTGAATCCCTTCACTAAATATTACCCTGCTCACACTCCAACAGATCGTCAGGTCCCAAGTATCATTCGTCTCCATTCACTCCTATCTAACACGTTCATGCACGCTTGCTGGAAGTCCAAGCCCCTCGCCCACAAAACCTCCTTTACCCCCTCTTTCCAACCCTTTCGAGGACGACCCCTACCCCTCCTTCCTTCCTCTATAGATTTATATGCTTTCCATGTCATTCTACTTCGATCCATTCTCTCTAAATGACCAAACCACCTCAACAACCCCTCTTCTGCCCTCTGACTAATGCTTTTATTAACTCCACACCTTCTCCTAATTTCCACACTCCGAATTTACTGCATAATATTTACACCACACATTGCCCTTAGACAGGACATCTCCACTTCCTCCAACCGTCTCCTCGCTGCTGCATTTACCACCCAAGCTTCACATCCATATAAGAGTGTTGGTACTACTATACCTTCATACATTCCCTTCTTTGCCTCCATAGATAACATTTTTTGACTCCACATATACCTCAACGCACCACTCACCTTTTTTCCCTCATCAATTCTATGATTAACCTCATCCTTCATAAATCCATCCACCGACACGTCAACTCCCAAGTATCTGAAAACATTCACTTCTTCCATACTCCTCCTCCCCAATTTGATATCCAATTTTTCTTTATCTAAATCATTTGATACCCTCATCACCTTACTCTTTTCTATGTTCACTTTCAACTTTCTACCTTTACACACACATTCTCAAACTCATCTACTAACCTTTGCAATTTTTCTTTAGAATCTCCCATAAGCACAGTATCATCAGCAAAAAGTAACTGTGTCAATTCCCATTTTGAATTTGATTCCCCATAATTTAATCCCACCCCTCTCCCGAACACCGTAGCATTTACTTCTTTTACAACCCCATCTATAAATATATTAAACAACCATGGTGACATTACACATCCCTGTCTAAGACCTACTTTTACCGGGAAGTATTCTCCCTCTCTTCTACACATCCTAACCTGAGCCTCACTATCCTCATAAAAGCTCTTTACAGCATTTAGTAACTTACCACCTATTCCATATACTTGCAACATCTGCCACATTGCTCCTCTATCCACTCTATCATATGCCTTTTCTAAATCCATAAATGCAATAAAAACTTCCCTACCTTTATCTAAATACTGTTCACATATATGCTTCAATGTAAACACTTGATCTACACATCCCCTACCCACTCTGAAGCCTCCCTGCTCATCTGCAATCCTACATTCTGTCTTACCTCTAATTCTTTCAATTATAACCCTACCGTATACTTTTCCTGGTATACTCAGTAAACTTATTCCTCTATAATTTTTACAATCTCTTTTGTCCCCTTTCCCTTTATATAAAGGGACTATACATGCTCTCCGCCAATCCCTAGGTACCTTCCCCTCTTTCATACATTTATTAAACAAAAGTACCAACCACTCCAACACTATATCCCCCCTGCTTTTAACATTTCTGTCATGATCCCATCAGTTCCAGCTGCTTTACCCCCTTTCATTCTATGTAATGCCTCACGTACCTCCACCACACTTACATTCTGAAATTCTTCACTCCTAAAAGATGGTATACCTCCCTGGCCAGTGCATGAAATTACCGCCTCCCTTTCTTCCTCAACATTTAAAAGTTCCTCAAAATATTCTCGCCATCTACCTAATACGTACCTCCCTCTCCCCATCTACTAACTCCCCTACTCTGTTTTTAACTGACAAATCCATACTTTCCCTAGGCTTTCTTAACTTGTTTAACTCACTCCAAAATTTTTTCTTATTTTCATTAAAATTTCTTGACAGTGCCTCTCCCACTCTTTCATCTGCTCTCCTTTTGCACTCTCTCACCACTCTCTTCACCTTTCTTTTACTCTCCATATACTCTGCTCTTCTTATAACACTTCTGCTTTGTAAAAACCTCTCGTAAGCTACCTTTTTCTCTTTTATCACACCCTTTACTTCATCATTCCACCAATCACTCCTCTTTCCTCCTGCCCCCACCCTCCTATAACCACAAACTTCAGCCCCACAATCTAATACTGCATTTTTAAAACTATTCCAACCCTCTTCAACCCCCCCACTACTCATCTTTGCACTAGCCCACCTTTCTGCCAATAGTCGCTTATATCTCGCCCGAACTTCCTCCTCCCTTCGTTTATACACTTTCACCTCCCTCTTACTTGTTGTTTACACCTTCCTCTTTTCCCATCTACCTCTTACTCTAACTGTTGCTACAACTAAATAATGATCCGATATATCAGTTGCCCCTCTATAAACATGTACATCCTGGAGCCTACCCATCAACCTTTTATCCACCAAAACATAATCTAACAAACTACTTTCATTACGTGCTACATCATACCTTATTGTACTGAAATAATTTTGCACTGTATATAAATTAACTATGAAACAAAAATTACATAGTTTGGAGTGAAATTTATGAAAACTTTTAAGAAAACAGGCTTAATTAGAGGAAATCCAGCAGGGAATGAAAATGGTAAAAGAAATACTTTGAAGGCAGTATAGAGAATATTTTATAACAATTATTGCAACAGGAGTTATTAAACGGAGAGTTAGAGGTATCGGGAAGATGGAGGGAATATTCTGAGGAATTGTTAAATGCTGATGAAGATAGGGAAGCTGTGATTTCATGTAGAGGACAAGAAGGAATAACATCTTATAGGTGAGCATATTAGATAGGAGCAAATGGAGATAAGTGGTTTTTAGGACTTGACATGCTGTTGAAGTGTAAGCAAGGTAACATTGATGAAGGGATTCAGGGAAACTGGCAGGCTGGGCTTGATTCCTGGAAATGGGAAGTACAGTGCTGGCACTCTGAAGGAGGGGTGTTAATGTTGCAGTTTTATAACTGTAGTGTAAGCATGCCTCTGGCAAGACAGTGATAGAGTAAATGATGATGAAAGTTTTTCATTTTTGGTCCACCCTGCCTTGGTAGGAAACAGCCGATGTGTTAATAAAAAAAAAATTACAACAACCCATAATACTACATGCATACTACACCACCCCACACATTCACAACATGTAGTTAACTTTACCTGAAAACTCATTAGAAAAAAAATTGTACAAAAAAATTACATGTACAGTTTGAACCTACTAGAGCAGTGGTTCCCAAACTTTTTCAGCTTGTTACCCAATTTAACATGCCACATAAAGCATGTTACCCCTTTCACAAAATGTTGTTATTATTGATATATATGGCTAAATGTGAACGTATACAGCCTCGCATACTCTGCTAATCCTAGCAAAACCATTGAAAACGTAAGAACCACACATACATTATATATAAATTAATAATAGCTACAAATTCACAGTAACAGTGGGTAAATACTAACTATATATTGCACAGGGCAGTACACATACATACCAGCTTATGTCTACCTCGGCTGATGTTCACAGATAAACTGACAGTGTGAAAGAGGCAGCCTCAGGAAGTGAGTGACGCGTACTGGACAGGTCGATCTGGGCTACTGAGTGACTTTTGTCCTGAAGCATACTTGTCAAAATACTTTTGGGTTTCCACACACTTAGCTATATATTTCTTCTTTTCTAATACTGTATATTAGTTTTTGATGTTTATTGTTATTTGGTTTAACTTTATTACTTACTTATAATAGGTTTACTTTACAACTTTATATACTAAGACAAAGTTAACAATAATCCTCATACCGGGTACCGCATTGTTTTCTTGATTTTCAGAATTCATAACTTTTTTTCTGTCACCCCTCCATTACCCCCCAAAAATGGTTAAATTACCCCCAGGGGGTAATTTACCCCCAGTTTGGGAACCACTGTACTAGAGAATGATAACCATAACTCTTAACCTTAAACTAACTCACCTTCACCAAATTCATTGAGAATAACTGCAATTTTCTTATTGTGCTGCTCCTTAAGAATATAGTTGAGGAGTGTGGTCTTGCCTGCACCCAGGTAACCAGTGAGAATAGTTAATGGAACACGAGGTTTATCCTCCACCTTCACCAGTTCTGGGATTGTCTCGTCTTCATCATCTTCACCGACTAACATTGGAATGTCATCTTCGTCTCCCATTGCAGCCAAAATTTCTGCAATTTGCTTAATATTTTGTAAATAAGGACACACAAATTTTAAGACAATTTTGACTTAATACATTTATGAATAAATTATTGCAAGAATTAATAATTTTACAAAAATTTGCATAACAAGCTCAAAACATTAGAATATAAATTTGTATAGTAAATTCATGACTTGGGTGATTAATGTTAACTATATGCCACTCACTGGGGTGAGGATGGCATAGAGTAATGGGAGCAATCTTGCCAGTCTAGACTCATATACTCACTCATGTAAAACAGGTGGCAGCATGTATGATTGGTTTAAGTGTTTTATTATACATCACTTTCCTGTGAAGTTGGTTTAAATTCTATGCTATTGAAAATAGGTTCCAGAAAGCCAATGAATAAGAAAGGCAGTGATGGACCCCAATGGAAATAAGTCACTCTGTCTGACTTTTTTGGGTTATCCTAGGTTCTCTACACATATGCTGCTATGTATGATAATTCTATGTAACTGTATTGTGTATACCTGAATAAATTTACTTACTTACTTACTTACTTACTTACTTACTTATGGCCTGGCTAACTGGAGAAAGTTCCTACATCTCTCTCTCTTCAGCTAATACCCTCAAACTCCACAAAATTTTGCCACAGCCTTAAAATTCAGCTATTGCTCAATAAAGAATAGAAAATCACAATACAGCAATTAGAACAATTCACTAAAAACAAGTACAAAGTGCAGGTTTTTGGCTTTGTGTATATGCATCTTTGTGCATCTTTCTATTAATATTTTTTTTTTAACACGTCAGCCGTTTCCCACCAAGGCAGGGTGACCCAAAAAGAAAGAAAAAACTTTCATCATCATTCAGCATTTTCACCATTACTCATACATAATCACTGTCTTTGCAGAGGTGCTCAGATACAATAGTTTAGATGTCCCTCCAAACTGCCAATACTATCCCAAACCCCTCCTTTAAAGTGCAGGCATTGTACATCCCATTTCAAGGACTTAAGTCCGGCTAACCAGACTTTTAATAAATTAATATATATAATATATATATATATATATATATATAGTAGTAGGTTGGTAGACAGCAACCACCCAGGGAGGTACTACCGTCCTGCCAAGTGAGTGTAAAACGAAGCCTGTGATTGTTTTACATGATGGTAGGATTGCTGATGTCTTTTGTCTGTCTCATAAATATGCAAGATTACAGGCATGTCTTGCTACTTCTACTTACACTTAGGTCACACTACACATACATGTACACATTTATTTATACACACTCATCTGAGTTTTCTTTGATTTTTCTTAATAGTTCTTGGTCTTATTAATTTTCCTTTTTATCCATGGGAAGTGGAATAAGAATCTTTCCTCCGTAAGCCATGCGTGTTGTAAAAGTCAACTAAAATGCCGGGAACAATGGGCTAGTAACCCCTTTTCCTGTAAAGATTACTAAAAAGAATAAGAAGAAGAAAATTGTCAAAGTGGGAGTCTGAATGTGCGTGGATGTTGTGCAGATGATATAGAAAGAGATGATTGTGGATGTTATGAATGAGAAGAAGCTGGATGTCCTGGCTTTAAGTGAAACAAAGCTGAAGGGGGTGGGAGAGTTTCAGTGGAGAGGAATAAATGGGATTAGGTCAGGGGTTTCAAATAGAGTTAGAGCTAAAGAAGGAGTAGCAATAATGTTGAAGGATAAGCTATGGCAGAAAAGAGGGACTATAAATGTATTAATTCAAGGATTATGTGGAGTAAAATAAAGATTGGATGTGAAAAGTGGGTTATAATAAGCGTGTATGCACCTGGAGAAGAGAGAAGTGTAGAGGAGAGAGAGAGATTTTGGGAAATGTTGAGTGAATGCGTGGGGAGTTTTGAATCAAGTGTGAGAGTAATGGTGGTTGGGGATTTAATGCTAAAGTGGGTAAAAATGTTATGGAGGGAGTAGTAGGTAAATTTGGGGTGCCAGGGGTAAATGTAAATGGGGAGCCTTTAATTGAGCTATGTGTAGAAAGAAATTTGGTAATAAGTAATACATATTTTATGAAAAAGAGGATAAATAAATATACAAGGTATGATGTAGCACGTAATGAAAGTAGTTTATTAGATTATGTATTGGTGGATAAAAGGTTGATGGGTAGGCTCCAGGATGTACATGTTTATAGAGGGGCAACTGATATATCGGATCATTATTTAGTTGTAGCTACAGTTAGAGTAAGAGGTAGATGGGAAAAGAGGAAGGTGGCAACAACAAGTAAGAGGGAAGTGAAAGTGTATAAAACTAAGAGGAGGAAGTTCGGGTGAGATATAAGCGACTATTGGCAGAAAGTGTGGGCTAGTGCAAAGATGAGTAGTGGGGGGGTTGAAGAGGGTTGGAATAGTTTTAAAAAAAGCAGTATTAGAATGTGGGGCAGAAATTTGTGTTATAGGAGGGTGGGGGCAGGAGGAAAGAGGAGTGATTGGTGGAATGATGAAGTAAAGGGTGTGATAAAAGAGAAAAAGGTAGCTTATGAGAGGTTTTTACAAAGCAGAAGTGTTATAAGAAGAGCAGAGTATATGGAGAGTAAAAGAAAGGTAAAGAGAGTGGTGAGAGAGTGCAAAAGGAGAGCAGATGATAGAGTGGGGAGAGGCACTGTCAAGAAATTTTAATGAAAATAAGAAAAAATTTTGGAGTGAGTTAAACAAGTTAAGAAAGCCTAGGGAAAATATGGTTTGTCAGTTAAAAACAGAGTAGGGGAGTTAGTAGATGGGGGGGATGGAGGTATTGGGTAGATGGCGAGAATATTTTGGGGAACTTTTAAATGTTAAGGAAGAAACAGAGGCAGTAATTTATTGCACTGGTCAGGGAGGTATACCATCTTTAGGATTTGGAAGAAGAGCAAATGTAAGTGTGGGGGAGGTACGTGAGGCATTACGTAAAATGAAAGGGGTAAAGCAGCTGGAACGGGATGGGATCATGACAGAAAATGTTAAAAGCAGGGGGGGATATAGTGTTGGAGTGGTTGGTACTTTTGTTTAATAAATGTATGAAAGAGGGGAAGGTACCTAGGGATTGGCAGAGAGCATGTATAGTCCCTTTATATAAAGGGAAAGGGACAAAAGAGACTGTAAAAATTATAGAGGAATAAGCTTACTGAGTATTTCCAGGAAAAGTGTACGGTAGGGTTTATATTGAAAAGAATTAAAAGGGAAGACAGAATGTAGGATTTGCGGATGAGCAAGGAGGTTTTAGAGTGGGTAGGGGATGTGTAGATCAGGTGTTACATTGAAGCATATATGTGAACAGTATTTAGATAAAGATAGGGGGAAATTTTATTGCATTTTTTGGATTTAGAAAAGGCAATATGAAAGAGTGGATAGAGGAGCAATGTGGCAGATGTTGCAAGTATATGGAATAGGTGGGAAGTTATTAAATGGGTGTAAAGAGTTTTTATGAGGATAGTGAGGCTCAGGTTAGGGTGTGAGAAGAGAGGAGACTACTTCCCGGTAAAAGTAGGTCTTAGACAGGGATGTTAATGTCACCATGGTTGTTTAATATATTTATAGATGGGGTTGAAAAGGGAAAGTAAATGCTAGGGTTTTGGGAGAGGGGTGGGATTAAATTATGGGGAATCAAATTCAAAATGGGAATTGACACAGTTACTTTTTGCTGATGATACTGTGCTTAGGGGAGATTCTAAAGAAAAATTGCAAAGGTTAGTGGATGGATTTTGGGATGTTTTGAAAAGGTTGAAAGTTTTGAAAGTTGAACATGAAAGGTAGGTTTGTTGAGGTGGTCAAATGATTTAGATAAAAGAAAAATTGGATACAAATTGGGGAGGAGGAGTATGGAGAAGTGAATGTTTTCAGATATTTGGGGAGTTGACGTGTCGGCGGATGGATTTATGAGGATGAGGTTACATAGAATTGATGAGGGAAAAAAAGGTGAGTGGTGCGTTGAGGTATATGTGGAGTCAAAAAACGTTATCTATGGAGGCAAAGAAGGGAATGTATGAAAGTATAGTAGTACCAACACTCTTATATGGGTGTGAAGCTTGGGTGGTAAATGCAGCAGCGAGGAGACGGTTGGAGGCAGCGGAGATGTCCTGTTTAAGGCAATGTGTGGTGTAAATATTATGCAGAAAATTCGGAGTGTGGAAATTAGGAAAAGGGGTTGTGGATTTAAAATTTAAAAGTATTAGTCAGAGGGCAGAAGAGGGGTTGTTGAGGTGGTTTGGTCATTAGAGGGGAGAATGGATCACAGTAGAATGACATGGAAAGCATATAAATCTATAGGGGAAGGAAGGCGGGGTAGGGGTCGTCCTCGAAAGGGTTGGAGAGAGGGGGTAAAGAGGTTTTGTGTGGTAAGGGGCTTGGACTTCCAGAAAGCGTGCGTGAGCGTGTTAGATAGGAGTGAATGGAGACGAATGGACTTGGGACCTGACGATCTGTTGGAGTGTGAGCAGGGTATATATTTAGTAAAGGGGATTCAGGGAAACCGGTTATTTTCATATAGTCGGACTTGAGTCCTGGAAATGGGAAGTACAATGCCTGCACTTTAAAGGAGGGGTTTGGGATATTGGCAGTTTGGAGGGATATGTTGTGTATCTTTATATGTTTATGCTTCTAGACTGTTGTATTCTGAGCACCTCTGCAAAAACAGTGATAATGTGCGAGTGTGGTGAAAGTGTTGAATGATGATGAAAGTATTTTCTTTTTGGGGATTTTCTTTCTTTTTTGGGTCACCCTGCCTCGGTGGGAGGCGGCCGACTTGTTGAAAAAAAAAAAAAAAAAAAAAATATATATATATTATATATATATATATATAAAATATATATATATATTATATATATATATATATATATATATATTATAATAATACTACACACAACATACACATAATTAAAAGCATATACATTTTCCATAATTTATTTTTCTTTTTTACCTTACATTTTTAAGAAAAACAATTTATTCCTTGGGACATATATTAATATACGTTGTATATGGTAATGGAAATATGGAAATAAGGACCAACATGGAAATAAGTCACTTTGACTTTCTTGGGTTATCCTGGGTAATTTACACATTTGTTAAACTATATATGAAAATTGTACTTAGGTATACCTGTACCTCAATAAACTTAAGTCAAATCCAAACTGACTGAGTTCTAGCATCAATATTATTAAAATCAATGGAAGCACTAAACATGTAGGGGGTCATACAATGAAGCGTACAGGTAATAGGAGACAATATGTTCGTTCCAAGGGAGAAGAAGGTTTACCACCTTGAATCCTGAGCCCCTTTACTGGCATCAAGGTAAGTAAGTTTCTTTAGGCACAGGTACACATAAGTACAGTACAGTTATCATACAGTGTAAATTACCCAGGATAACCCAAAAAAAGTCAGTCAAAGTTACTTATTCCCACTGGGGTCCCTGAGAAGTCCACTGCTAATATTATCATTATTATATTCATAAGGGAGCTCTAAATCCGTAGGGTCATACAGCTCCTGGGGAAAATAGGAGGCATTCAGGTTTGATCTAAGGATGGAGAGCACAGATTCAATTTCCTAGACCCCAATGAAAATATCAAGAACCCCAATGGAAATAAGTCACTTTGACTTTTTTTGGGTTATCCTAGGTAATCTACACATATGCTGCTATGTATGATAATTTATGTAACTATTTATGTGTACCTGAATAAACTTACTTGGATCAGGAGCTCTCCTCACCAGAACCTTGAAGACCACGTATCACACAACCCCAAGTGTACCTGTTGAGGCTGAGAGATATCTTCCTTATCGTTATAGTTTACTCTCTTTACTGGTGTAGTTTACTCTCTTTACTGGTGTAGTTTACTCTCTTACTGGTGTAGTTTACTCTCTTTACTGGTGTAGTTTACCCTCTTTACTGGTGTAGTTTACTCTCTTTATTGGTGTAGGTTACTCTCTTTACTGGTGTAGTTTACTCTCTTTACTGGTGTAGGTTACTCTCTTACTGGTGTAGTTTACTCTCTTTACTGGTGTAGGTTACTCTCTTACTGGTGTAGTTTACTCTCTTTACTGGTGTAGTTTACTCTTTACTGGTGTAGTTTACTCTCTTTACTGGTGTAGTTTACTCTTTACTGGTGTAGTTTACTCTTTACTGGTGTAGTTTACTCTTTACTGGTGTAGTTTACTCTCTTTACTGGTGTAGTTTACTCTTTATGTGGTAGTTTACTCTCTTTATGGTGTAGTTTACTCTTTACTGGTGTAGTTTACTCTCTTTACTGGTGTAGTTTACTCTTTACTGGTGTAGCTTACTCTCTTTACTGGTGTAGTTTACTCTTTATGGTGGTAGTTTACTCTCTTTACTGGTGTAGTTTACTTCTTTACTGGTGTAGTTTTACTCTCTTTACTGGTGTAGCTTACTCTCTTTACTGGTGTAGTTTACTCTCTTTACTGGTGTAGTTTACTCTCTTTACTGGTGTAGCTTACTCTCTTTACTGGTGTAGCTTACTCTTTTACTGGTGTAGTTTACTCTCTTTACTGGTTTATTTACTCTTTACTGGTGTAGTTTACTCTCTTTACTGGTGTAGCTTACTTTCTCTAGTTTAGTTGACTCTCTTTACTAGTGTAGTTTACTCTCTTTACTGGTTTAGGTTACTCTCTTTACTGGTTTAGGTTACTCTCTTACTGGTGTAGCTTACTCTATTTACTGGTGTAGCTTACTCTTTTACTGGTGTAGCTTTACTGTCTTTACTAGTGCAGTTTACTGTTTTTACAGGTGTAGTTTACGTCGATGTCTTCAGTGTTATTCTGGCAGGTAACAGATGTTTGTTTACCTGGTTCAGTTTACTGGGCAACACAAGGACCAACACTGTCCACTTTCCTCGGCTTCACAAAACACCTAACGTACGCAAGCTAAGTAAGTTCATTCAGGTACCATATAACCCAAAAAAGTCAGCTAGAGTAACTCATTTCCATTGAGGCCCTTGAAATTCCATTGGAAAAATTCAAGGAATGTTCTAGCTCATTCGAGCTATAAGTTCCCAGTAACTAATATACTTGGACTTCCTACACATTTCTGCAACATTGCAAGCTCCTGATGATGGGTTGATTGCAGCATAGTTACCAATCAGGCTTTAGGAGATCTTACTCAACCGACACCTCCCTAATTAATCTGATGGATTACATGAGAACTGAAATGTCGATAGGGAACCTCATAGGAATGGTAACCTTAGATTTGCAAAAGGCCATCGATACTGTAGTAATAATAATATCTTTATTTACTACAAGTACATGTACAAGGTATACAGGCCTAGCTGACATCAATGACATACTACTATATATTATTATTATAATCAAAAAGAAGCGCTAAGCCACAAGGGCTATACAGCGCTGCATACTACTATATAAAAAGACCCTTGTTATGCACAGCATGTCGGGCAAATTAGGCCAGTGTCCCAGGATGCGACCCACACCAGTCGACTAACACCCAGGTACCCATTTTACTGATGGAGAACATAGACAACAGGTGGAAAGAAACACGCCCAATGTTTCTACTCTGGCTGGGAATCGAACCCAGGCCCTCGCCGTGTGAAGCGAGAGCGTTAGCCACCAGAGCTGTCGGCATAGGTTCCATAGACTGGTTTAAGTCCTATCTTAGCAATAGGAAACAAATTGTCAAAATCAACAAAACAGAACCAGAACCCCTGCCGATAGCATGTGGAGTTCCCCAAGGTAGTATTCTGGGTCCTTTATTATTCTTATGTTAACGACATGCCAGTGTCCTACTGTATGCGGATGACAGTGCTCCGTTACTGTCAGGTAAAGACCCACAAGATATAGCTAATGTAATAACACTAGAACTGGAGTCCTGCAGCAAATGGTTAGTAGACAACACCCTATCGTTACACCTCGGGAAAACGGAAGCCATACTCTGGCACGAAACATAAACTGAGAAGGGTAAATAATTTTAATGTTCAGTGTAATAGGGGACCCATCACTTTAGTTTCTTCAGTAAAATATCTGGGAATCCCCTTTGACCCATGCATGTCCGGAGAATTGATAGGGAAGAGAGTAGTAAAGCGAATGCCAGACTGAAGTTCCTCTACAGATAAGCAGTGTCTACCTACTGAGGCTCGCAGAACCCTATGTCTTGCTCTTATACAATGTCATATGGACTACGCTTGCTCTTCATGGTACTCTGCCTTGACAGAAAAACTGAAAGATAAACTGCAAATCACCCAGAACAAAATAGTAAGATTCATCCTGGACCTGGGTCCAAGAGAGCATGTAGGCCAGGATGAATTACAGCATTTGGATATGCTGAATGTTGAAGACAGAGTAAAGCAACTGAAGTTAAATCATTCCTTTATTGCTGTACAATAAAAGGTGTTTGAAGCCTGGCCACTGACTGTGGGTACTACAAAGTTGTGCTCTCTCCCCCTAGTACTATGATTGCTTTGGTTCCCAGCCTTGACAAAATTGACAAACATTGTCCAAAATATCTTGCTGCCAATTTTGTCAAGGTTGGGAACCAAACAAGGTCCTAGATGCACTAGAAGACAAAAAGAATGCAGATGTAATATATACAGACTTTGCAAAATCCTTCGACAAGTTTGACCATGGCGTAATAGCGCACAAAATGCGTGCTAAAGGAATAACAGGAAAAGTTGGTAAATGGATCTATAATTTCCTCACAAACAGAACACAAAGAGTAGTAGTCAACAGAGTAAAGTCTGAGGCGGCTACGGTGAAAAGCTCTGTTCCACAAGGCACAGTACTCGCTCCCATCTTGTTTCTCATTCTCATATCTGACATAGACAAGGATGTCAGCCACAGCACCGTGTCTTCCTTTGCAGATGACACCCGAATTTGCATGACAGTGTCTTCCATTGCAGACACTGCAAGGCTCCAGGCGGACATCAACCAAATCTTTCGGTGGGCTGCAGAAAACAATATGAAGTTCAACGATGAGAAATTTCAATTACTCCGATATGGTAAACATGAGGAAATTAAAACTTCATCAGAGTACAAAACAAATTCCTTCCACAAAATAGAGCGAAAAACTAACGTCAAAGACCTGGGAGTGATCATGTTGGAGGATCTCACCTTCAAGGACCATAACACTGTATCAATCGCATCTGCTAGAAAAATGACAGGAAGGATAATGAGAACCTTCAAAACTAGGGATGCCAAGCCCATGATGACACTCTTCAGGTCGCTTGTTCTATCTAGGCTGGAATATTTCTGCACACTAACAGCACCTTTCAAGGCAGGTGAAATTGCTGACCTAGAAAATGTACAGAGAACCTTCACGGCACACATAACTGCGATAAAACACCTCAGTTACTGGGAGCGCTTGAAGTTCCTGAACCTGTACTCCCTGGAACGCAGGCGGGAGAGATACATGATTATATACACCTGGAAAATCCTAGAGACTAGTACCGAACTTGCACACGAAAATCACTCACAACGAAAGCAAAAGACTTGGCAGACGATGCAACATCCCCCCAATGAAAAGCAGGGGTGTCACTAGCACGTTAAGAGACAATACAATAAGTGTCAGGGGCCCAAGACTGTTCAACTGCCTCCCAGCATACATAAGGGGAATTACCAATAGAACCCTGGCTGTCTTCAAGCTGGCACTGGACAAGCACCTAAAGTCGGTACCTGACCAGCCGGGCTGTGGCTCGTACGTTGGATTGCGTGCAGCCAGCAGTAACAGCCTGGTTGATCCACCAGGAGGCCTGGTCACAGGCCGGGCCGCGGGGGCGTTGACCCCCGGAACTCTCTCCAGGTAAACTCCAGGTAGTACTAGGGGGAGAGAACACAACTTTGTAGTACCCACAGTCAGTGGCCAGGTTTCAAACATCTTTTATTGTACAGCAATAAAGGATGATAAATTAGACACATGTGCAACTCTTGGGTATCTTTATTAAGGAAACGTTTCGCCACACAGTGGCTTCATCAGTCCATACACAGGAGAAACTTGAAGAACAGGAGGAGAATGAGGTAATCAGTCCCTCAACCTTGAGTCGATGTGGTCAGTCCATCAATCTAGAATAGAATACGGCATATGAGCGGAGATTACCTCATTCTCCTCCTGTTCTTCAAGTTTCTCCTGTGTATGGACTGATGAAGCCACTGTGTGGCGAAACGTTTCCTTAATAAAGATACCCAAGAGTTGCACATGTGTCTAATTTATCAACGTGTCGGTTCTCTGAACCATTCATCTACAATCCTGTCAGACACTGCAACTTCTTGGGATCTTAATACTTGGGATTTCTTCGCTTGCCTGACCCTTGGGCACGACCTACTTCCACATTGGACAAATGACACCACCTACGTCTGCTGCACCTCTCCTGCCATACGGTTTATAAGCTGCTTCTCCGCTCATATGCCGTATTCTATTCTAGATTGATGGACTGACCACATCGACTCAAGGTTGAGGGACTGATTACCTCATTCTCCTCCTGTTCTTCAAGTTTCTCCTGTGTATGGACTGATGAAATTAAGACACATGTGCAACATCTGGGTATCTTTAATGTAGACGTTTCGCCAACCAGTGGCTTTATCGCCACTGGTTGGCGAAACGTCTACATTAAAGATACCCAGATGTTGCACATGTGTCTTAATTTCATCTTGTCGGTATTATATACCATTCTTACACAATGTGTATGGACTGATGAAGCCACTGTGTGGCTAAACGTTCCTTAATAAAGATACCCAAGAGTTACACATGTGTCTAATTTATCAACGTGTCGGTTCTGTGAACCATTCAACCAGCAATAAAGGAATGGAACAGACTGCCTGCACATGTCAAAGCCAGTCATAGCATGAATCAGTTCAATAAGAGAGCCAAAAGGTACCTAAAGAATGTAGCGACAAAGGGAGGAGCATGATTTTCTATTTTTTTTTTTAGCTAACACACATGTAAATATAAATAACTCTTTTTACCTTATTCCTTGTATATCTCCTTTATACTATAATAATAAAATATTATCTCCATACCTGGAGAGAGTTCCGGGGGTCAACGCCCCCGCGGCCCGGTCTGTGACCAGGCCTCATGGTGGATCAGAGCCTGATCAACCAGGCTGTTACTGCTGGCTGCACGCAATCCAACATAAGAGCCACAGCCCGGCTGGTCAGGTACCGACTTTAGGTCGGTATAATAATACGGTATTAAAAGGGCCTCAATGGAAATAAGTCACTTTGACTTTTTCGGGTTATCCTAGGTTCTCTACACTATATATGTTGCTATGTATGATCCCCTCAAGGAAGGTTCCTTGATGTTGGTGAGGGGCTCTTGATTTAGGGAATTGGATCTGTGCTCCAGTTCCCCGAATTAAGCCTGAATGCCTTCCACATTCCCCCCCCCCCAGGCGCTGTATAATCCTCCGGGTTTAGCGCTTCCCCCTTGATTATAATAATAATAATGCTATGTATGATAATCTATGTAACTGTATTTGTGTATACAGGAATAAACTTACCAGCACGAAAGGCCTAGAATTATCATTCAACTCCTGTGGTTGTTTTGCATCTATCCCTTGTTTACAATTACTGCTTATGTTACTATGTATGATAATTGTACTTGTGTGGTCCTGTACTTAAACTTACTTTTCTGACGCAGGTCTTAGTCGTATGGTAACCCGCAGCTGTAACTTTTGGCCATCTGACCGAATCCTTCCACTGGCTTACCAATGGACCTAAATCTTAGATTCTTATATAGGAGTGCGTGAGTGAGGGGAGAGTTAACTTAGCAGGGAACCTGACGGTAAAAACCTGGCAGCTATTACCAGCTACTGGAGGATGAGGTAGTAGTGAATATTGCCAGGTGAGTTTAAATGCCATCTCTAAGCTTGTTTGCAGAAGTGGTGAACCGAGGATATTGAAAAGAGGAAGAAGCAAATTCTGTTGTAAAAATAAGTGTTAAGGGAGTAAAAATAAGTAGAAAGATAGCAGGCGAGAGAGGATTGAGAGCCTCTATAATCGTATTTATATTTATTTCTATTGTGTCTCCTTTTACTGTAACTGATATCTACTGTAACTTATAGTTAGGCTTTAAATATTAAGTTATTGCAAGGACCCCAATAAATAATTTTGTCTATTTTTGGGGGGTTATCCACTTATCCTAGATAATTTACACATAGTATGTTAAACTGTGTA